AATTCCGCAGGCTCTCCACAGGCAGACGCCGCGAAAAGGCGAAAATGTGTGAAAAGAGGAAAAAAAACGATCTACTTCGTATTTGACGACGTGTTTGTTATAATTATAAGGGTCACTTTTCTTTTCTTTTCTCGAAATGAAATGCTATAAAATAGATCAATTCTTTCATGGATATAACGTGGTGTCCTGTTGCTTTCGCCCGATCCCGGTTCCAATGCGGGCGAGAGGTGCGTCTTCTCGGTTCGCAATCCCGTGCGTGCGGTCCGAGCGAAGGGCTCGGAGCAAGAGAGACGACTCGCGATAGCTCGCGAGGTCGCCGTGGACTCGGAATGGACGAATCGTAAAGTCGTCATTTCGTAATTACAGTCGCGAAGATTTAGTGCCGATTTAACGAAGATTTATTGCTCCGAACCGCTCGAGCTCTCACCTCCCGTCCACGATTCCCCGACGAATGCTCCCGCAAAGAAGAAGGAAAAAAGGGGAAAGAAACAGTACGCGGAGAAACGAGGGAGAGATATAAATGTGTATATATTTTACGACGTCTCGAGTATAGAAACAGCGAGCCAACAGGCAACAATCGCCACCCCCCCGTCTCCTTTGCCCCTCCCCGCCACATCCTGCGCGCGATACATATAGTTCGTAATATATTATTCTTCTACTCTTACTACTTGATATTTATATGTGCAACTTTTCGATTTTGTTCGTTTCCACCCTTTTTAGTACTTTAATAAATGAGTTTGTTAAAAATAACCCGATGGCGCTTCATTTACGTTACCGTTTTCTTCTTTCTCTTTGTTTACGATAGCGAACACTTTTTACACCTTAAATTTCTTTGCTACGTTCCGACATACGACGTATTGTAGAACAGGTCTAAGAAAGATTATGTTATAGATGCAAATTATTTATATAATTTATATATATTTTTATTTATTTGTTTATTATACCGTATATTATTTTCTTAACGATATAAGTATAGTCGGTCGTTGAATCAGTCAATAAATTGTAACGATACAGTATTGCGTTAAAAAAGACGGTACTATCAATGTAAAATATTCCATTATAAATTTTTAACGATATATAACTAGCCCAAGGAAAAATTTTGCACACACATCGAAGTCTGTAGTATAATACAGCAAATTCTCAGTTTAACGGATCCCGAAATGGCAGATTTAACGAACCGGACAAGAGACAATACAGCACGTTAATTGATAGTAATTTAAAAAAGGACAAAATGAAGGGAAAACATAAAAAATCTTAAACCTGATAGAGGAGTTGAAGCGTGTAAATTTAAATGCGTAGCACAGAGATTAGAATCGAGAGCGAAGCACTCTTCAACTACGCTGTCAAAAAGGTAAGTGAACACAGTTTTATTATTACTTTTGTAATTTTTGATTGAACAGTACTGTATATTATACAAGATTTATGAGATTGGATTTCTAATACGAGATAGTCCAATTTTAATCACAAATCTTTTTTCGCAACAATTAGACGATCTAACAAACAATTTTCCACTAAATATATTTCACTCCAAAGGCAATAAGATTCTTTTGTTTTGAGCGAAAACGCGTTGAACAAGCATAATTTCATTCGATCTTGGAGGTGAGGGAGCCAGACTGAATAATTATCGTTTTATAAAACTGGCGCGAATTGACGAAAACTGGCTGACTACAGCGTGCTTCCTTATGGCCAGATTAGAGGGTCTCTAAGAAGTCCGATCTATAGACCTACCTATCCATTTTCTACATATACCGTGTTTCAACATAAATAATGAACCTACAAATTTTTACTTAGCCGCGACGCGATTTTCTAGAGTTTTAACTTTGAGTTTAACGCGCCCGCGGGATTTAATAGCGGTTTCACTCTCGCACATATGCGAGAATATAAGTGTATACACTGAAAAAAATTTCTGGTTGAATATGGACGAATCAGATAATTCCTTTAGGATTTACCAGAATTCCTGTAATCCTACAGAAATTCTGATAAATCCTAAAGGAATTCTGGTAAATCCTAAAGGAATTATCTGATTCGTCCATATTCAACCAGAAATTTTTTTCAGTGTAGAAGCGTAACCCACCCAAATTGTAACAAATAAAAAGAAATCAAGATATATTTCGTATATCGCCTTACTCCATCAGAGTGGCCAATATTGACCACGTTGCATCCAGTCTTCTTTCGTTGGGCCAGATTGGACATACCTTTCGTTGCTCCTGGCCGTACGGTCTGGTCACTTTGACCAGAGATCAGGAAGGAAGAAAATTCCTTCCATAGTCGGTTTATTATCACCGACAAATATTTCGTACGGTTCGAACGGTATGCGAGCGTCGATCGTATCGAAATTCAAGACCACGAGAAGTTAATTAAAGAAGAAAATTAATTAAAAAAATTTTATGTATAAAACTAATCAAATATATTCCTACTTCCGCTATTTATTCGAGAATAGATGACTGTCTCTCTTCGGGACTCAACTTTTTAATTCAAAATTCAAGTATAATATGTATGTATATAAAAAGAAACAATTTACTTCGCGTTATATTTATTTCAATTCCGCGATAAACTTAAATTTATCATATGGATGAAACTAAACAATTAATAAATTCTTGAAAATTTTTTTGAGGAACTAATCGCGAAAACCGACCGCGACAACCGGCCGCGAAAATACGAAGATACGTATAACTACACCCTCAGAAAGGATTTCTGTTATCGAGATAAAAATATTCTTGACACATTTATATTTCTCACAACCTCATTTAGTATCAAAATAAGACAATATCAAAGTAAAAACAAAAATTCTTATTCTCCTTCATCGAATTAAAAAGCATTGACTCACTATACCGAGACAAGAGTAACTTATATAAATGTAAGTTTATATATTCTTGCGTTTAGAATAAATTTTACAACGCACGAAGTTGGCACCGCGATATTCGACAAAAGACGATACGTGCTATCATTTTATTCTAGATTTTAGAATTTTTCATTCAAGATTAAAATATTCCTTTCTCTATGATAAATATCGATTCTATTTTATGATACATTCATAAAATTGGATCCAGAAATTTTTTCTGTGGGTGTATGCATGTATTCATGCGAGACGTATCGTACATGGCGAGATACACATACAGAATTAATGACGTGAGATCGAGAGAAAAGAAGCTTTCCGTGCAATTAAATATTCTGGTTAAGCAATAAGCTCAAGTAATGTATTAAAATAATATAAAATTACAGCGTTCTCGAAAAAATATTAAAATCTCACGTCATATAACTTTATATATAAATTTGTTAATGAAAAATGGATAGGGGCTGCAAGATATTAACTTGACGAATACATTGATATTCGTCATATTTTGCGTGAAAATGTATGATGTGCTGTAACGGAGCACCCAATCCTCTACAGTAAAAATCGCGATCACTTCTTCTCGATAGATGAGATATATTAAAATAACTGTGCAATTATATTGCAATCTATCCATTTTGAGGCAACGAATCTACGAGTTGTAGATTCGTTGCCCAATAAAAAAAAAGGTTCTGAAAACTCACCGGCCGATGCGCAGCAGCGGAGTCAGGCTACGCTGAATCTGTAACAAAGATAGAAATAGTTAAAGCGGTGTCCAATGAAATTGCTATTGTAAAATGCAAGTAATTCTTATGCGTGCCGGATATTTAAATAATTAATGCGCAAACACAAGAATAAACTTTTATATAGTTTTAAATTATTTCTCGTTCTCTCATTATCACTTCGAAATTACAGAATTGTGAAATAAAACGGAAAAAAACGGAAAAAAAGATTTATTTTACACTGAATAAAAGATACTCACCGTAAAGTTGCTCCGCCGGCGCCCGATGCCTGTCCCAGGCCTGCACATCCTCTCGGATTGTCCAGCGGCACACACTCGCGAGCACTCGCGAGCACTCGCGAAAACACAGAGAACGTTCGCGCGATTTTACACTCCCGTTCGAAAGCCCACGCGTGGGTATTCTGTTCCGTCAATTTCGCCTCCGCTTCGAGTCGGCGAGTATTACACCTCAATACTGCCAAATCTCCGAAGTGTGGCCATCGACAGGAACGAACGTTCACCGAACACTTGTTCCTCGAATGGGCTTCGAAGAGTCTTTCGTTCGATTACGCAAACGGCACTCCCGAACGCGACGAAAACGAAAACTTATACGCACTTTTGCACGAGAGAGTATTCCTTGGCACTTTTCGTTGTCCCTTTACCCGACGACTCGCGCATTATCCCGCGCTTTTGGTCGCACTTTCTCTTGGAATCACGCGCGACACTCGTCTCGACGGATCACCGTAGAAATCAACGATACGACTCGTACGGGGCGATCGAGATTCCCGTAGGAATTAACGGCGTCACGACGAGCGACGCGAAGACGCGCGGAAACGTCCGCCTCGGTCGACTGAGCCGCGCCGAATGAAGGAAACCGTTTTTCACCGAGGCGTTTTTCACCGCGCTACGTCATTTCGTGGAATTCGGCGCTCGGCTCTCGGCCGAATTGTTTACGGCGCCCGGCGAAAAACAAGGTCACGCCGTACGCAGGGATCGTTCACGTGACAATTGAACGAGCGTTCGTTATGCCCGCGCCGTACCGCGTATCCTATTACCCTTTTTTTTGATGCGCGTTCGCGTGAAGGTACGGAAAGAAATCGCGATCGCTCTTCGCTAACGATACGTGGATCGATATTACCGCGTGATCGCCGAATCCCCGCGATTTGCCGTCTACGCTCGGTCAGCCAACGCTACTTACATTGTAATAATTACTCATCTCTCTTCGTAACTTAATCTTCCAATTTGAAATTCAAGTAGATGTAGAGAAACGTTTACCTCGCGTACCGGCCCTATTCCTTTCGAGACGTGCAAATAGATTACGTTCCGTGACGCTATCGAGTGTCGCCATCTTGGTAGCTCACGTCCGTTGCACTAGACATTTCATTCCCCTCGCTCTTCGCGCACCAACCCCGGCGGCAACAACGTGCTCCGTCCAGGTATTCCCTACGTCCACGTTTCCCGCTGTTGAGAACATTGGAGCTGGACTATGCCTCCAGCCGGAGCACGTGTCGAGGGACTTGGGACTTGTTTCAGATATGTAGATGAAAATTATCTCGAGCTCGGCGTCAACCGATACGTTTGTGTGCGGGACAACCGGTTCACGACGAGCTCACCGACGACGACGTTGCCTTAATCTCTATGCAAACCGCCGAGACTTTCCCTCGCTCGACGGGTCGAGACGGGCGCGCGAGCACTGGCGTGTTTCGTAACATATGCCGTAATGAAGCGGTAGCTGTCGTAGTTAACTGATTACGCCCGAACGTGACTGCGCACATTGGGAATCTTAAAGAAAAGGCGAGGACTCCTAGGTACGTGGAATTGTTTGTCCGCGAATGGAGCAGTTTCATTTTGTCAAATGAGACACGGGGAAATCGTGCGCCTTTTCGACGCGCCTGTAATTCCACGGCGTTTATTACGAAGTTATCTATTGTAAGACCAGATGGTCAATTCTGTATCTTACACTGTAGTGAAGATGCCAGGGGTTGCCTCTTTCCGACTGTCCCCTTAAAAAGAGACCAAGCCGCTCACGTTTAGCATTTTTCACTATGTTGCAAGATACAGAATTGACCCCCTGAGTCTACAATGAGTTGTTAGAAGTCGATTTTCAATCAACAGTCCTCGTGATGTAACAGATAAATGATAGCACACCTCTTGCGATTTTTGTTGTAGCGAATTGAATAACTGACAACCGTAACTGTGAATAAATAAGGAACGGAAATGGCTGTGCCGTTCGTGAACGACTATCTGGAGACGTACTCCGGCAGAGACAAGATGCTAAGGACTCTGTCTTATGCCGCAAAGCTGCTTACCGCGTGTACTTCGTCCAAGAGCACCGAGAAGAGGCTCAAGACCTTTGGCAGTCAGATGAGCGAGTGCCGGGTGATGTTGCGCCTGCTGGACGACCTTCCGGCCCTTCACTGCGTGGTGACGTACGGATGGGGAGAGAAGGTATTCACATTCATTTGACGCTGCTGCTGAAAATTCTGACCAATCTAAGGAATAATACATTGCGTTATTTTTCTAGAGCCATTTAAATTTCATATGTAATCTAATAATAGGAGCCTGACTGGTTGATTAGATGGAGCCAAGTGATACAAAATGTAGTAGACCTTGTTTATTCTCCCGTAGAGCACATTGCTTGGGCTGGCCAGCATAATATAGTGTCGATTGACAATGACAAATGGGACCTCGCCTCGACTTGGTTTTGGATCATTTCTCTACACCTGTCCCTGTTGAAGTAAGCGACAAAATACGCTCTTGCAAAATACTTGTGCGACTAAAGAATGCATTATTTTGTGTTAAAAACGATATTCCGTGCAATAATTATTGACATCCAATTGCAAATACATTCAAACAATAGAGCGTAAGATATTCAATTGTGATTTCAGATCGTTGAGACTGTTGCAAAAGCTGCAAAAGCACAAAGTAGAATTGAAAAGAAGTAATATTAGTACGCAGTGAGTATCTCATTATCACATTTCTCGTGATAGCTTCAAATATTATTCTTAGCGAGTAGAACAGATGAAGACGAGCTCAAGCTTAACACATTTGCTTTTTTTCTATTCGAATGTAGAGGCATGTCGTGTGAAACCTTAACAACCCTCAACGAGCAACAACGAAGTATGCTGTTGACATGCACGCGCTGCGTGCTGGATATTTCTTACGCGATCAGCTATTTGCCCCCGGGAGTACTTTGGGGAGGCCGTTTAAAAACGTGGCACGTTGGAGCGCTTGGCACAATATCATCATTAATTGGGCTCTATCAAGCTCTCAGTCGGCAAATGAAAAGTTGAAAATATTTCTAATCCTAAGGGAGAGGTTTTTTCTATCGATTTCATTGATAACGAAAAGTGTGGGTAAACATGTTGTATATATATGTATGGGTGACTGCGTTGTATGTATATTGACAGTATAAATAAAAAGATATTACGGATCAACAACATCGAGATATATTTTTTTAATAGCCGTCACCATCGCTCAAGATGAAAATCGTCCCCTGACGCAAGCTGGAGAGTCCTTCGCACTTTTACAGTCACCTGTTGCGTGTACCAAAATAAAGACAAAAAATACTTTAACTCCCCGTACGACAATTTTACATTAACTATATCAAATGTCACATATATCCACGTTTGTAAAAAGATGTTTTATTAGTTGCAGTAACATGTACACAACAAATTCAATGGCACGAGAAAAAGATTTAATTATTATTACCGCATTCTTATCTAACAATATATTACTCCACTTTGGTTAAAATTATTTGTACAAATAAAAAAGACCGTTGCCAAACTGTTTCTTAAAAGCCTTGGCACTTGTAAGGCTTTTAAAAAACTTGATGCTGCAAGAGTGCCACAACTGCCAGTGGCAAATCGTATGACAGGAAAAAGTAAACCTTTGTAATTAATACATAAAACAATGATTAATTAGTTTCAAAATGCTTAATTTAACTTTTCTATAAATATCGCGTACGATGATGTCGCGACTGAGACATTTAAAGTTAAATACAAGCCGTGAGTGAGGTTCGAGAATCGGATATAAATATCTTATATATTCAGATAAAGCTTCGTTAACAGTTTTCGAATTATTTGGCATGATAGAATATCGTAAAACTTGTTATTTTATATGTTGTGTACACAACCATTGTATTGTTAACTCTTGAACGTTATTAATAAAAGCTAAAATATAGGAGAGGCACTTCTCATTTGAACTTAAACTGAAGTACTTTGGGCTTATACACGATGCGATCTAAACTTACTAATCGGAGCTCGGTTATATCGATATCGATCGGCTGTCCCAATCTCCATTTTATTTAGTTTATTAAAAAAAACCTCTTTTAATAAATACTTAATTAAATTAACTATGTATTCCGCTCCGACCACTAAAGCGTAACTCTTGGTCTCATTAAAAGCCCAAGATTATGTCCACACTGTAAGTTATCATACATAGCTGAAAAAATAATTTATATTTGCCATGTAAACAAATCTATGAGGATTATGTTAAAAGGCACGACTTATTGAAACCTTTTTTTCGAACAGCATGCCATAGACAATTAAAATTTCCCTCCGATAAAATTCCTTACCGAAATCGGAATCGATAGTACTGCTGTTGTACAGAATAATTTATAGATTAGATATCTTTGAAATATATTCGAAAGCGCTTTGATCGAGTATACGTATATAATATTTGTATCGATGTATTTTTTAAAGCACTTCAATAATTGCTTATATATGTAGCAACCACATTTGAGAATTATATCATTTCATTTGTGAATTATAGACAGTGATATCTATTTAACGATATATATATATAATGGAAATCGTCCACAAATATTTCTCAGAGAATATTAATTTTATGCCTAACTACCACATGTAAATTCATTATTATCGCGTGAATGGACAGTTCTGGATTCGTTTAGCAATGCATTATCATATACATATAGTGCACTTGCTGCAAGCTGAATATATCGCCCTTATTTCTACATTTCGACATTAGTTTTTCATAACAACTTAGTTTTACCGTCATTCACTGTTAAAATGAATATGATAACTCGAGAAAATTAAATATCATTTTAATGTTAAAATAAATAAATTAGTATTATATGCAAGAAATGTGAAATGTAAAAAACAAAGCTTACAGTAAGATTGCTTCGGCTTTGCGATAAACATTTTTGCTGGTTTGTTATTATTAATATAAAAAGATAAAATAAAAATGACATATTTACTTACAATTGGTTGATTCCTTTCTAAATCTTTGTTAGCTGAATTAGTTAAAATTTTAGTTTGTAAATGATGATATGGAAAGGAAAAATAACATTTTCAGTTCTAAGAATACATATTCAATACTGTCTCATTTATCATTATCACCGGCAGGGCTGAAAGAGAGTTATTTGGTGAATACGAAAATGGAATGACAAGTAAAAAATAAAAACAGGCATCGGATATCTGCAAAAATATCTGGTTTTTAATTCAACAAAATCGTATCAAAACGGGAGAAACGTGAATGAAGGATGAACCTTATTCAAAGAAGAGGTGAAACACAATTGTACATAGTAAGAAAAAAAAGAAAAAAAAATAAAAACGACTTCCCCTACAATCCGCGCCAGAATCGTAGACCATGTACTTCTCCATTTCGTCAACCGTTAAACAGTCCATGTGAGCGAAATACCTGTGACAGCCGCTCGCTTCGGCTAGTACAAAAATCCAATCGATCGCAGTCAATAACGCAACGCACGTTTGCGTTACACCGCAAATCGAGTGTAGAAATACATTGTAATCTAACGTAAAATTAACAATGTTTAAACGTCATCGACAAGTATCGTAATGGAAGAACGATTAGCGAGTTTTATGGTACATCCACGGTAAGTCTCCCGTTATATCACATTATTAACACGCGCAATGTAGTAAAGACAAATAATTATCGCATGATTATTATCTCGCCACTTCAGGATAATCTTTTCCAGCATTATCGTAACTATATTCAATATACGTAATTAAGCGTAATACTTTAAACACGATAAACGCATGATGATGGCGATGCTATCATAGATTTCCTGAGAATTCTACGCGTTTCATTGAGCCCAGCTCAAAATTACCATAACGGAGCCCTATCGTCTCGCGTAAAAAATTATTGTCACTGTGAAAGCCCACAATATAACTCTCACGACTCTAACGAAAAAAAATGTGTATACACGTGTGTGTACGTAACCCTAATGCGCGATCACGGCCATAATCTAGCATCTACTGTTTTGGCACGATAGTATTATTTAGCGGTAAAAAAAAATCGATAAGAGAACCCGTCTCTCGTAAGTGAAACTCGTACTAAATAAAAGTATACCGTTTCTCTCGAACGTAGTAAAAACTGCGTTCGCAATAGGAACTTCTTTTGGAACAAATACGATTTTTAATATTCATCTTGTCCTTTCGTACGCACGGTAACGATAATGAACCAATCGTTGCGCGTTCGCAAGCTCAAATCGGCGGTATGAATCGGCGTGTCCCCGTATCGTCGGACTAGTCCTGTCCGCGGCTACGCGATAAAAACTAAGTCTGCACCCTGTTACCCGATGTTCTAAATCGGACGGCGCAACGTCGGTTTAACCGGTAGAGTCAAAAAGGAACAAAAGGGAGAAGAGAAGACGACGGCCGCGACGAACAAAAAGCAACTTTACCAGCCGCACGTGTATGAGATCTTTTCGCACGTCGTCTCCTTTACATCATCGTCGTATTTGACATACGGGGACAGTTGTTCATTCCGAAATTCGGACTCAATCCTATCACTTGATTCGTCTTCGAGTTCCGCGTCAGAGGTGTGTGATGCGACATCGACTCCACGGAATGTTGCCACTGCCAACAGCTGCGACAAAAGTATCGGAAGCATGCCTGAAAAACATGTGTATGAAATATAATGTATGCGCAAAGAAGTATGAGAGTTGTAAAAATATATATATAAAACTATATGTCGTGAAAGTGAAGCCACTTGCGAGATGGTGAGAGACTAGAACTAAAAAAAAACTATATTGGTTTCCGCACCACATCGCGGCAGAAATAATGTCCTTGTTGTACAACGCATACGGAGCATATCGACTCTTCGATGTACGGATCCACTTGTACCTGCGATACAAAGATATGTGAGTTTTATGTTAAGCCACAAGCTGTAATCACACATGACTTTAGCTGATGTACCTTCTTTGTAAATTTGTCAGTCTTAATTTCTATAAATGAAGCGGTGATCGCTTTAAAATACGATTGTTTCGTACTGAATGTAACACGACCGGATCCTATTGGATATTTATACTTATCCGTGTCGATACCTAAAATAATATATTATTTTCATTAACTTTTCAAATATGTAGGAAATTATTTGTAGGAAACAAAATATGTATAGGATTAAAAGTAAAATGTTTAACGAAACGAATAATGGTAATCACCTGCATAAATGACTCCATGGAAAAGGTCGTCCATGACTTTCGCCAATCCTGCGGCCGTTAGCATTCCGTGTAGTGCACCAACAAATACAGTTTTGTGTGCGTCGAGTCTTTGTGATGAAGATTTAACGTAGTTGCTATTCTCGAGAATCCATGGAATCACTTGTACCTAAAATAGTGACAATTGCGAGACCTCAATTTTGACGATATCTTTTCGGATATACGTGCAACATTATAAGTTGACTTACGTCTTTCGGCTTTGAACGCTTGGATATAATTTTGTAATACCATCTCTTTCCATTGGTAATATCGTGAGTGCAGCAGGACAACATTGCCCTGACCTGAAAGTGATTCGTATAATCTTCGTATTATCGGAGATTTATTAATTTTCTAACACAAATGCTTATCGAATCGATTGACGCGATGTTAATTAATAAATGTTAATTAATGCATACTTGTTTCTCTGATTCGAATATAATATAAGCGTATCCTTTCGGCTGAGCGGACGGTGCCTTTGCGGGCCACTCTACGCGAACCGGCCCAAACTGTTTAAACGTTGAAATCAAGATAGCTTCTGTAACGTCCCACGGTACGCCTCCTAGAAAAACTTTGGGAGAATAGGCGACTGGTTCCTCGGTACTTTGAGGCAGAAAACCGCTCCATGTGCACGTTGGATAACAGTGTGCTGAAATAAACGGATCAATATGTCTCAATCCGACCTATCACTCGTTCAATAAAATAACTTTTGAGAATAATTAAAGTCCGAAATTTTGTACAAAGTGAAATACTCGAAAATTTGATAAGCTTAAAACTTCGTTTATGAAAAGCTTATCAATTTCAGCTTGAAATTCAAATATTAAATCGATGTTTTTATCAAGAAAAAATTTCCTCCAAATTCATCTTATTAACACGTACAATAGAATACGGATGGAAAATTGTAGCAATCTTGTACAAATCATTTGAATAAATCGTTGTATTGTACAGTCAAATATAAATAATGGCAATAAAAGATAATTAGAT